TAATGTTTTTACACAAATAGAGAAGTTTTGTAGACTACTCACTAACTTTTTTAATTCCAAAGCCATTTCCAATGTCTTGGCCGATCTTCTCGCGGCTTATCCTTATCAAATGTACTCCAATTTTTAAATTTGTGAAACTCAAATTCCAGATTTTAAATTTGTGAAATTCAAATTTGAAGTCACTCTTTGGGACAAATTTTGACTACCATATTTTTTCAAACATCAATGAATTGTTGAAATTATATAACATGTCGGAGGGCCGTAATATTTTAGTAGTTCTTCAGGAGCATGATATCAATCAACATAAGAAGTTTCATCAAAAAATTTTTTTTCTACAGTTATCTGTATGGTTCCCAAATAATATCTTTCATATAAATTTGAATTTTTAAAATCAATTTAGAAAGAAACGGCTTGGCCCATATCAAAAATCAAACAAACGCGAGTGCTTATCATGTTTTATAGAATTATTTTTAGATTTTTGAAATCTATTCAGTAATTTTTAAAAAACGTCAAAAAAAAAGTCAAAAATCGGCTCACATACACACACATACATATACGTTTTCCAAATCTTGTCTCATTCGATTGAAAATGGCTGAAAATTAAAGAAAACATAAATCTTGTTCTTCGACTTTGAACTTTAATTCTTGCATTTCTTCGACTTTTTACAATTAAGTAAAGAATTTTTAAGAATCCGGGTCCTAAACAATGTTTAAATTCAATAGATACTCATTTAGCACTCGTTTAAAAATTTATTATTGTACCTTAATTTAGAATATTTGTAACTTACATGATGATGGACATCTTTGGCCGTGACCATCTTCTGCAGACGGCATATAATTTCGGAATCTGTGTGAGAGCTGGGTATTGCGAGCAGACGGGCAACTGATCCGCGGAAGGATTGCAGGAGACTAAGGGCATGCGAATTGTCCGAGAGCGAAGCCCTTAGCCGTTGCGCTTCTTCACGAAGACACTGAAACAAAATATGGTGCATATTTCAAATTTATTATTCAAAATACATCATGGTTTCATGTCTGAAGAATCAAAACTGCCTGTCAGTCATATCTGTTTTCTTTATAATAAAGAACGGTATGCAGAAATTCGAAATTCAATGACATTCCCACGAGTCACTTACAATTTATCGCAAGTTCATATCTGTGTATATTTTTATGTAAAGCATAGTTTTGTTATACTACCTTTAGCAGCCCATTAAAATTAGTTCATTCAAAATTTTTCTTAAAAATTATTTAGAAATCGTAGATCAAATGAACTGTTTAATGTAACTAATAAATTATAATACTATTTTTCGTTCAAAATTACTCTGATAATTTTGAACTTATTTTGAATATTTTAAAACTATTTTATAATTAAAAAATAATAATTTTAATAATTGTTAAATACTGATTAATGAGTATTTTATTACATTGACCAATTTGACTCTTGAGATTTGTTTCATTTGTTTGTTTCATACCTTCTACTTCTTTATATATTATTATTTTTTCATTATTTAATTTTTTGAAAGCTCTTGATTATTGAACGTATTTACATACTTTCTAAGCAAAAAGTAGAACATACTGAATTTTAAATCATAGAGTTTTGTACATTTTTTGTAAAAAATAGATCACTTTAGGATATGCAGAAATTTGTAATATCACAAAAATATTTTTTTAGATCAGATTAAAATATAACAATATTTGTTACAGTAACAGAGATACTACTCCACAAAGTACATAGGAAAAAGTTGATAACGAATCTTTTATACTTTAAATTTAAATAAATAAATATTACTAAACCTTGAGAATATAACAATTTAGCACAGATATTATGAATTAGAAAGTTATTGAAATGTATTTTATTTGAATATTGATCCTATAAAAAGATCAATTATAAGGTATTATTTTAATTGTTCTTTAACAAATAGGTTTTTGTTTTAGAACAGCTATCAGTTTTGACCTTTTGTGGTACATCTTTAACGCTGTTTATTAACTTCCCATAGGTTAAGTTATAGTAATTGCAAAAAAATCGAAAATGAAAAGTTTTTTATATCTTTACGTTTCAGAGGTTTCTGAACATTTTGGCATACCTTAGAAAAAATGGATGTATGTGTGTGTGTGTGCGGATACAAATTTTCGTCGACGATTTCGGGAACACGGTTCAACCGATTTCGATTATTCAGTTTTTGACGTGCTTGGTCTAGCCGTTTCGTAGATACGGGGCAAAAAGTGCCAAAAACAATGACTCAGTTTTTAAAAGAACGGATCGTCTGATTTTAATAATTCCAAAAATTGTATGGACAAAACGAAAAACTGATCAAATTTATGAAGGCAGATCTAGCGGTTACGGAGATCTAGTGAAAAAAGTAAAAAGAAGCCATTTGGCGGTCAAAAATGATCATTAGGCATCAAATTATCAGATATTTTATAGAGATTTTAACAATAAGTATAATTTTGTTCACATTCCTATCGGTTCCGTACCAATGTTTATCCGTTAGACGGCGACGCGGCGCTTACGCGCTTTGATATTTCGTCTCTATGCAGTTAATGCAGTACGATTGCTTTGGAAAAAAGTTCAAAACTTCCAAAATATTTCAAAATAAAGAAAACATTTTTTTTTCAAAAAGCCTTTGCCAAAAAAATTTTTTTTTTTCAATAAATATAGTTTCTCAAAAATCTAATTTTTTCAAAAATGTTAATCTTTTGAAAAAAAAAATTTTTGGTACGGAAAGTTTCAGCAATTTGCCTTAAGGCACGATGCCATGCTCCCCACTAGTTATGTATTTGATGAGTTTTCAGTGTTAGGTGTCTCAGAACCCAGCGATATAGATTCTAAGTGCAAATAGATTACATTATATCTTAATATCAAGTTATTCGTATTATTCATTTCACCTAATTGAATTGAAATATGAGAAAATTTGTTTGCTTCAAATATCTATCAAGAAACGTAATATCTGCATTTTATATTGCCGCCACATTTTAACGACTTCTTGCCTTTCTCAAAATAAAGTTTACTTCATTATATTATTGATGAAATATTTTTGCTATAATACTATTCTGTTTATGTTCGCATAATGAATAGTTTATTCGTACGCCAACCATAACATGAACGGCATTGAACCTTTTGCAAAAATTAGCACAAAAGATCAAAACTAATAAAATGTGATGAAGTCGTGAGACTTATATAGTCATCAATGGTTATATTGATCATAAAAGTTTATTTGAGCGTACATAATTGTTCATAAAAATATATTAAATTCACAGAATAAACTTTACAAAAGATGAGAACCATACAAAATATTTGTTAAATGATTTTCTGAGAATCATAAATAATCTAATATTATATAATCTTTGTCTATCTATAGCTAAATCAAATCGTAAAATACATAGGTAAGTTTAATCTAATTAAATTCTACACTTTGCTAAGATTTAAATATTCGGCATACTGCTTTACGTTTTGAGTCATTTTTAATATGATTTTTGAAGTAAACTTCTTTAGGCGCGACTAGAGTGTAAATCCGTACAAATGCAACGGAAGTCCGTTACGCCCACACTGTTCGTCATTCGTTCTCGATAAGATTATTTCGATACGGGTCGATTGTGATTAGCCGTCGTGTATGTGAATAGAGATCTGTCGTTGTATGCATACCGGCATCAACGTTGTTTGCGTACCGATATCACAAGGAAATCGCCATAGCTAAATAAATAGTTTAAAGATACAACGTAGTACAAATATTGATTCAATGAAAAATGCCTGAATTGTTTCTATATTATTCGTAGTTTCTATACATTTTTGAAGTTATTAAAATAAAAAATATTTTTTAGGCAAACAGATATTACAGCTGTTCAAAGAATGAGATTATATCGCCAGCGAAAAAGTAAAACAAAATATAAACAGTCAATGAATGTATGTTAATTTCAATTACATGAAGTTCTTCGAACACAATTATTACATCATGAGTGAAGTTGCGAAAACAATATTTGTTTAGGCGTTGTTTAACATAATCCACTCTGTAAACGAATATTATAGAATTTATTAATCAGCAATTACTTCATTTCTCTAATAAAGGTTCATTTCTAAATGCTAATTACGATCATGTCATATATGATGTATGACTTAAATTACATTATTGTTTTTGAATATTATACATATTTTTAATGTTATTATAAATATTTAATTTATAATTTATCATTAAATAAATGTGTATAATGGTTGACACTAATAAATATGTGCATCACGAGTGTTACCATATTACAATAAACATTATTCAAAATTGTTATATGATGTATTTATTTTTATTTAAATGTGGTCTTGTACAGTAGCAAATAAGGTTTACTTCAATTGGTTGCAAACCTGACGCGCACTCTTTTTTTTAATTGTGATATATCAATTGAAATTGTTCAACTGTTAATTTTGATAGTTTTTTTTTTCAACAATATCAATTGGCGTCGTTTGTACCTAACTTTTAAGTTTTTAGTACATATTTTTTAACGATCAGTGTGAACGTTCTGGAGAAGATTAAGTAGTATTAAGTCAAATTACTCAGAATTACATTCTTTTTATTATTATTAATTTGAACAGGAATCAGAACTTGAACGTTATATACGCTGGTCTAATTTGACTTAATACTACGTTTGTTTTACATATGGCAACCCAAACAGTTGTCTTATCTCTGTGTAATAAATTATTATTACAATTTCTGTAATATGGCGAATATTTATTGATGCAGCAATGCCGAATGAGGGTGTATTTTCACTTGAAAATATTTTGCTATTTATATTTCCAAGTAAAAATCGATGCAAATACTGGATCATCAGGTTCCTCAGAGCGGAATCGATGCAGTCATACTTAACCACGATGGGCCACACTCACAATAATATGAAATGCCAATACAAGGAAACATAAAGCGAATATGATTTGCGTGCAAAATTATAAATGTAAATGCTACATCAATATCAACCAATTTAATGCTTCAACGTTATTGAAGTTGAAGCTTTTCAGTTTCAAGGCTAAAAACAGAAGCCAGTAATCTAGCAATAGGCTTAGACGTGAGAGCACTTCTTATTGCTTTATCAATCTCCATTCTTTAAAGTTTAAAGTTTAAACCATAAAGTAGTTGTAATGATAGATTTATGTCTATACAATAATTTGTTGATTAAAAATCTAATTAAATATCATACAGACCTGTTCATTTTGTCGGCTGTGCTCCTTCGTCGCGCTATGCTGTCTTGCCTGCTTGATCTTCTGATTTTCGCATTCGGATAGGCGCTGTTGCAGTTCCTCAACTTTTCGTGAACGTTCTAATAGGCATATCTAGAAAAAAACATCGATAATACCTTAATCATTGTCATAACACAACTTCAATTTAAGAATTAAGAGATTCTTTATCTGAAGTTAATAAATTTTTTATTATGATACACCACATATTTGTCAATTAAAAACAGATACGGTCGTAATATAAACTATAAAGTACTAGTAAAGAAAAAAAAAGATAATAAAAAGTATGCATTTAATTAAATTTAAATCAAAGCAAGAGAAATGATACAAATTTATAAAATAAAGGTGATTCAAAAACGATAATAATTTATGCGTGATTTGGTGATTTTGTATCCACCGCAACCTGATCAGACGTTTAATTAAACGTAGCAAAACCATTTCTATTTAGACTTTTTTATGGGCTATCGATGGACTTTATGGACACTCGAATAACTGAACTTTGGAGGAATTGTAAAATATTATTAAAGCAAAACATCTTTAGGCGCGACTAGGGTGTAAATCCGTACAAATGCAACTGAAGTGCGTTACGGAAGATAATATAAGATAAGAGTCGAATGCCAAAGATTCGTCATTCACTCTCGATGATATCACTTCTATACGGGTCGATTGTGATTAGTCGTCGCGTATGTGAATAGAGATCTGTCGTTGTATGCATACCGACGTCAACGTTGTATGCGTACCGATATCAACAAGGAAATCGGCATAGATAAATAAACAATTTGAAGTTACACCGTTGTACAAATGCCTGAATCAGAAGAATATTTTACCCTGTTTCTTGAAAATATTGATTAATAAGATTAATGGTTAGTAAGTTTATTGGTTAGAAATTATTTCTATATTATTCGTAGTTTCTATAAATCTTTGAAGTTATTAAAATGGAAAATATTTTTAAGGCAAGACAGATATTACAGCTGCTCAAAGAATGAGATTATATCGCCAGCGAAATAGTAAAAAAAATACAAGCAGTCAATGAATGTATGTTAATTTTTATTACATGTAGTTCTTCACACATAATTACATGATGAGTGAAGTTGCGAAAACAATATTTGTTGAGGCGTGGTTTAATATAATTCACTGTGTGAACGAATATTATAGAATTTATTATTCAGAAATTACTTCATTTCTCTAATAAAAATTCATTTCTAAAGCTAATTACAATGATAAACCGATCATGTCATATTTGAAGTATGACTTTAATTACATTATTGTTTTTAAATATTATACATATTTTTTAATGTTATAATAATAATAATAATAATGTTATTATAAACATGATTCAAAATTGTTATATGATGTATTTATTTTTATTTAAATGTCATCTTGTACAGTAGCAAATAAGTTTTACTTCAAGCGCGTGTGAACCTTACGCTCACTCTTTTTTTTGTTAGATGTTTTTCTAGTCTTGGCATATGTATCTACTGTTGCAATTTTGAAGTAATAACGTCAAATGTGACTTCCAGCAAGATTGCGTCGTTAAACGCTTAATTTTACAATGAAGTGGTATAAAAGCACTGTTGCGTTGATCATTCGGCACCTCCTGAGGAGATGCAATAGAACTCAAGCATTTCGTATCTTGAATTCTTTCCTTAAACACATACGCAGCGCGATTGCTTTGAAAAAAGATCAAAATTATAATAATATTTTTCAAAAAATGCAAGTTTTCAAAATTCTCAAAAAAAATTAATGCTTATTAAAAAAAATTATTTACTGGAAGTTATAGCAATTTGCCTTAAGACACGATGCCATGCACTACTAGTTTTTTTTTTTTGAATCGTATAATACGATTCAATATCTGAAGTAAAATAAAGTCAATAGGTTCTTAACAAATTTAAATTACTTTGATTGATCTCAGCTATAATTATTACCATATAACTGAAATTTGATTTTGAAATCTGTTCATGACCAGACAATATCATATAGTGTTAAGCCATCACACAATAAAACAATATTTCTATTATAAGTATTTATATATAATTTTTTTAAAGAGAGTCCCAAGAATATGCAGTACGCCAAAGAATGCTCGGAAGTTACGCATAAAGAAAATTAAAAACGTTAAGATTGCGTGAACAATGGCCATTATTCTGATCGCGTACTAACATATGACATGGCTCTATAATTCTTATAACCGATTATGACACGGTTTAACATTTACGACACGACAAACATCTTTAAATACTGTATATTGTTGTTAGAATATGATGGATACTGTATGATCATGATATTACTTTTCATATTGCCAGCAATCAACAAATGAATTGCAATTGTGGTGATTTTTTCTATATTGGTATAAATTGCCAATATAACACTAATTGTAAAAGAATGAATCAACATATCTATAATTTCAATAACCCTAAACAATTCAAAACCATGTTCTGTGAACATATTACTTCTTTTTAACACACTTTGAATATAAGTCATTTGATCATTCTTTACAAAAAAAAAGTTGATCTCTCATTTCTTCAAACAAAAGTTCGTACTGATGATAACGACGTATCTATAGCTGAAACTATAATTTTCCATTTTTTTAATTTTTTAGAAAGTAAATCAGCAGCTTCTCATATAGCTTCTTTTACTAATTTTGCACTTGCAATTTTTTTCTTTTATTTTTAGCAAGTAGAGTATTTTTTATGACGCCATCATTGCTGCTTATGATGTTGCAGTGGTTTATTAAAAGAACTTAGTCGGTTAATTTTTGAAGATTTGAAGAAGTCGTTTTCTTCTTATTCAGAGCTCATTAGATAGTCAATATCAAAATTCTAATATTACTTACCTTGGGAAACACAACACTATTATTACAGAACAAAAACATTCACATAAAATCAACAAATTATATATGATCCATTCATCATTAGAATAATATGTTATTCTTCTTTTACATTTATCTATTTTAGAAAAGAATACACCCGCAGAATTGCGTTGCCTGTCCCTGCCCGAAAAGTTTTGAAAAATCAAAAACAAACGAAATTCTTCTTTTCTATTTTCCGATAGGGAAATGTAATAAATTTCTGTAAGTCTGGTTTGTTTTCTTAACACTTAATTTTTTACAGTCATTTGCTCCTATTTTTATTAGAAGAAAAAGAAAAAGAAACATAAGCGTTGTATGACTTATTGATTTAGTGCCTTCATTCAAAAAGTATCTTCCGGTATGGACTTTAATATACTTTATATCATTAATTTAGTATAACACTGTGCAAAATAATTCTCATGCATCATCAGAACTTATTGTTGTCTTCGTAAGTTCCGACTATTTTTTTACACTTTGACATCTTATTAATTTTGTGTCAACGAATCATTAATCCTTCTCACATGACAATAGCTTTGTCAGATTACCATTATAAGAAAGGTATTATGAAGAATTCTGCAATAGCTTAAATACTGCAAAAAAACTAATTTTACAATAAAAATGAACTATGTCAATTACCTTCATATCTGCTGCTTCACTCAGCTGCTGATTGAGGCATCGGATTTGATTGTTGGCATCAGCTAATTGTGCCGCGGCTTTTTCAGCATTTCTAGCACTACGTTTTGCACGAGCAATTGCTTCATCTCGTTCATTCTGTAATTAGCGTAAAAAGTATAATTATCATATTTCAAGAGTTATTATGCATGTTATATATACTACAACAAATGGTGTACAAAGCTATGAAAACTTTAGTATATAATTACCTTTATCTCACCCAAGAGAAGAACAAATAAACCAAAACAACGTGCCACTAAAATAATAAAAATAAATAGTAAATTATAATACACAAAATCAAAAATAATGAAATTAAAATAAAACATGTACTAAAATTGAAACAAATCAGATAGTCAGGTCTATGAAACTTGACAATTACTGCATCTTTATATTTATATTTATATTACGTTCAATTCTCAAAAACTGAAAAATCTGATGAAAAGAATAAGCTATCAAACAAAATAAAGACAGACTTTGAAAAATTTAAAATTAAATTCAATTACATTTACAATTTGATAAAATATTTGTTGTGATCTCTTACACCAGATAATGTGTCTGATTGAGATATGAACATATATTTTAATAAATGAAAAAAAAACTAAATCAGGGAGAGTAATTAATTTATTTGTTTTTATTTATTAATTAAGTATTAAAATTTAAATATTTCATAGTTAATATATATCTTTGGTAGATTCATCTCATTTTTTACTCCTAATATTTGCAATCACTTTAACGGGTGAGTATAAGATTTTGTGTACTAGAATCAGGCAAACATTTTTTTAAAAATTTGAAAGATATATAATATAATAAATTAAGAGATAATAAAACTAAAAAATAAAGATCATATTTTCACATCTTATGCCCATATTCTATTCTTATTTTTTGCTTACTTGTAATAAACATCTGCTACGATGATTTTCCTCTTGTAGTTGAAGCTTTTTCTTCAGAAGATCTACATGCAGCTCTTTTCTTTGCAATTGATCCTTCAATATTCTTATTCGTTTCTGCAAATTATTAACTACTGTCGTCTGCAAAATAAAATAATTTGTAGAAAATTTTAATTGTGTCAGCTTTTCTTGAATAGATAAACAACATAGTATGAAACTCTTTATGAAAGGATAAACTTCTAGAATATTTCTGATTCCAAAATTATTTAAGAACATTTTATTATTAACGTATAATACTATGCAATCAATTTTAGAAATATGCTGACAATCTACAAATAAAGTTTTTTAACATAAACAAAACATTTTCCAGAAAATTAAATTATTTTTTATTATTCAACATAATTCTATAATATGTTAAGAGTTTCGTTTTAGCTATTAGTTTTATCATTTTGCAAAGTTTCTTCAAGTCCCAGAAGAGGAAACCTTAGGTTGTCCTTGTTAGTAAGATAAAATGTGTGATTTTGATGAAATTTTCACTATACGGTTGAAGCAAAAATACAACCTCTAAATATATATATACACATACATATATTTATAAATATATGTGTGTGCACAGTATAAAATAAATTATGAATGCATTCCGAGACGTTACATTACCTCCTTCAAAGGTATATCATGGCACGAGCGTTCTCTCCTGAGGCGCGGCGCATTGCAGGGTAAGTCACAACATAGAATCTAAATAACATTAATATTTTATTTATATAAATGAGAATTTAAATAGTAAAACAATGTCGCAAATAAAATTTAGCATCCTATAAACAAATTTCAAAAGCCATAATAAAATAGTAATAAAGATTATGCACAATCATGTAGCTGTTTCAAAATTAATGTTGTTTGTAAATTGTATAAATGTATACAAATATTTTTATATACCACCAGTATCAATATTTTCATTGTTGCTGTAGTCAAAGTCTTATATTTCGTCATTTTAAAACTATTCAGATGGTATAAAATCATTTATTATTTGGAATAATTAAAATGAATACACATAAATAATATTTTACAATTATGTTGATAACAAACAAGAAGTATTTAGATTTATTCAAACGATCCAAAAAATGATATCAAAATTTTTTAAAAATCAAAGATCTGAAAACAAGCACTTACTCCAATGTTGAAAATTTGATAACAATTTTAATAACATTCAAATGCAATTATATTATGGTTGAATATTTATCACATATGAATGGACATTAATGCATATATCTATATTATATAAAATAAATAAATTGCGGATATTGGGTAAAGACAACATTCGTACACGCCATGTAGATGTAGCCTATAGGCGACGCTCGTAACAATAGGGTTAACATTCATAGTAACAAAGTACAAAAGCAGAATAATTTTGGAAGAGGATTGCAAATACTAAAGAATTCAGTTTAGAGAATGATGCTGTTCGGACGTCTTTTCGTTTTATTAGATTACCATGAAGGTGACAAACTTCAGGGCATTAAGCTTTACACGGAATAGTTGCTACCCCTGGTAGAGGGGGTAGCGGAGAGTTTTAATTGAACTAGTTGTTCACTTCAAAAAGTAAAGTCTGCTTAACAACATGTAAATAGCAAATAAAAATAAATATATCATCTTTCATTATAACTTAGTAACAAATCAGTGATTGTAATTAGAACTGCAACAAATACATAATATACAAACAAATCAATGTTTAATACAGTCCACAGCTACAAGGGTTGAATTATAACCCAACAATCTGAATTATCGAAGGAGAGTTTTAATAAATTCTATAACTACGTAACACAAAATACGCATGCTTAATACGATTTTTGCAGAATACGCCTCTTTAAAACGATGCGTGGACTTTGGAACATATTAACATACTTTTCTTATGACAATTATCTCGCTTAATGTGGTAAAAGACTGAAATATTTTAAGTTTTTCGACCAAAGTGTGTTAGAAAAAAATAATAAAAAACCTAAATTTTCATTGAGGCACAAATTTTCATCGCATGTCAATATTGAAGCTTAGATAAGCTTTCATTGGCTTTCCCACTACGTCATGTACTAAAGTACCATAATTTGAAATAATTATTATCAGTTGTTACTTTCTCCCTTATATAGTCGTATTGTATAAGCAAATTTTTTTGCATTATATACAGTTATTATTTGAAATTATCATCAATATATTAAAATTACCTTATCGCAACAATGCTTTTCAGCTTCAACACGAACAAGATGTTCAGCTCTTTGCAGAAGTTGTTCGGACAAACACGGTGCATTTTCTTCGACCCGCGGTGGAGCAGCGTACGCCAGCGAGATTGACAATCGCTGCAAGTAGCTGTGCAACTGAAATTGTGATAAAATATTTTAAATGAATATCTAATAAATTATTTAAAATTTGGAAACTTAATAATTTATTTTGTTTTATATTAGGAATGACTAATTCCTTTTAATATTAGTTAAATTTCAAATTCAACATTTTAAGAAGCAATCATTGAACAATAGAATCAATTTTGCCAAATTTAAAGTCCAATATTAAAATATGTTGTTTATTACATAAATGCATATAAAGAGGTACACATCACTGTGATAATCATCAACTTTTCACAAAATTTCACAATATACAAAAATACCATTTTTTAAATTTACAAAAATTCAGAATATTCTCCTGCGTGCTTGGCAAAAATACATGTATAACAATTGCTTTTAATGAATAACTTTTCGACAAGTAAAAAAATTCGTATAAATGAGAACGGCGAGAAGTTAATAAAAAAGCTACATTTTTCGAAGCTTTATCTAAAATTTTGATTTCTAGTAAGAATCATGTAACACATATGCGGGTAATGTTAGCTCGGTTGGGTAGTACCGGGTTTACTCAAATTGATTATGAGTAAAATATTTTATCATATAATAATTTTAGGTTTTTACCGTAACGTGTTCCCTTCTGAGTAAATCGATTTCTCCCTGCAGTTGAATAACTTTTGCCTCGTGAGCGCGCTCTCTGCAAGCAGCGTTCTCCTGCAGATCACAAGCTCGAGAATGTTCCATTGATAATTTTTCGCGGCAAGATTCAGCTTGCTGTTGAATATATAAATTAGAGTTATAAAATAAATACTCATGATTATTATATTGAAGGACATACATTATTATTTCTACTATAACAACTAACAACGAGACAAAATGACCATCATCATATAATAATCAATAACATATACACACAATTGCAATCAGTTGCAAAGCAAGACAACTCAAAAAGAAGTAATCAAATAACCTTCTTCTGCACCAGACTAAAGCAGTCTGCGACATCCATAACTACGCCCGTATATTCTTCAAATGATTATAATTTTATTGTAACTTTATATTTCATAATTACATTTTTCTGGATGTCCTTTGTTTTTACTTCACTTTTTTGTCGACAAGATTGTTTCAAGTTTTAGTGATAAAAGCATATCGATACAAATGGATTTATATAATAAAATATTTGTCTTTTATGTGGGATTTAATCTAATGATATAGTTCTCTCTACAAACCATTGACAGCTCTTGATTTTGTGTCATAATTTCACGTATTCGATCTTTGATAGCGCATTCTTTCCACTCGCCACGACCTCCCAATCCCTGCCAAATGCATTGAAGTAGACTTTGGTGTTCGACTTGGAGACGACTTAGTCGTTCTTCCACTGTTTGAAGATCAGCTGAAAAGAATATTTATTGTGCTAATTGAAGCATTTTTTGCCATTTTTTTTTTCAAACACTCAAGAATTTTTCACAATATAGAATTATAAGACCTACAAATAAAACAGTAATATTAATCATGAATTCTCAATACTTTTCATAAATTTTTCTTATGCTTATGGAACGCTCATTTATTAATAAAATTTATTCATAAAATGAAGGATAAAGTAAAGTTTTCCATTCAAAATGAATGAATAATAATATATCATATATAATTAACTTCCCGTAGGGTAAGTTATTGTAATGGGCCGAAAATCGAAATTGAAAATTTTTACATTTCTCGGCGTTTTGAAGGTTTCTGACCATTTTGGTTTTTACAGTTGCTTACACAAAATATCCATTGATCATTATTGCCTTTTAAGATAAAATTTAACTAGTAGTGTGTATGACATCGTGCCTTAAGGTAAATTGCTAGAACTTTCCGTACCGTAACAAAATGTTCGAGGAATAAAAAATGTTTTCAAATAAATTATTATGAATAAATTCTATATCGTCTAATATTTATAAGAATTATATAAACTGAATTGCAAAGTTGAAAATATTTGTTTAAAGTATAATAGAACTTGAGTCAGACTTACAATTAAAATCTGAAATATTTTCGATATACAAAAAAAATATTTTTTGAAAAAAAAAAATTTCAATTTCGATTTTTGGACAATTACAATAACTTACCCTACAGAAAGTTAATAATATGATAATAACATATGTATGTATACATAATAACATATGTATGTGTTTATCGTGTTTATACATTACATTTCATTAAGCAAGTAAAACAAAAATGATAACTGGTGGGGTGGGTGGCATCGCATCTTAAGGCAAATTGCTGGAACTTTCCGTACCGTAACGAAATGTTCGAGGAATACTGAATGTTTTCAAATAGATTATTATAAATATTGTAACATTGTCTAATATTTATAAGAATTATATAAACTGAATTGCAAAGTTGAAATTATTTGTTTAAAGTATATTAGAACTATAGTCAGAATTAAAAATAAAATCTGAATTATTTTCGATATATATACAAAAAATTAACAAAAAAAAAAAAAAAATGAACCAAAAAATTTTTTTTCCAAAATCAATTATTTTGTTAAGACAAGAAAAAAGTTTTTTGAATCATTCAAATCGGACGCTTAGTTCTCTTAAAAACTGCCATTTTTTACATATTTAGCTCCGTATCTTCGAAATGGCTGGGCCTGCCTTTGCCAAAAACTAATAAACACTTCTCCCAATCATTACTAATTGAATGTTTTTTAGATCATTCAAATCGGATCCTCTGTTCTCTCAAAAAGTCGATTTCTATTTTCTACACTCTTTGCTCCGTATCCTCGAAACGGCTGGACCTGCCATTGCCAAAAACTAATCAGCTCTTTTCCCTATCGATAGGAATCGAATGTTTTTTGAACCTTTCAAATCGGTTGATCCATGCGCCCGAAAACGTGACTGGAAATTTGTATCCATACATACATACACACACACACACATACATTTTTTCTGAAGTATTCCAAAATGTTCAGAAACCTTCAAAACGTCGAGAAATGTGAAAATTTTCAATTCCGATTTTCGGCCCATTACAATAACTTACCCTACGGGAAGTTAAAAAATAGATTTCAACGCAAATATGTGTAATTATTTAGACTCACTTCTAAGTGTTTCAGCATGTGCTTCGCTATTGTTCAATCGTTCCTTCGAAGCTTGCAATTCGTGTATTTTGGCATCCAGCGATTCTCTGAGCCTGGTCGCCTCTATCTCCCTGCATCCATTCTGTCTGACCAGACCTTCGCGCTCCGCAGCAGCCCGCTGAAGACCATCTCGCATGGCACGTGCATCGGCTTCGCACGTCGCGAGAGCATCAGCTGTGCTGTTATACTGAAATATGCCATTTCATTGCAGTTATTTTGTGTGTGAAACGATACATATTTAATAATGTTATTAGAGAATATCAACGAATCATATATTTTAATTTAGAGATAATATTAAATGGTTAGAACATAAACTATTATATATTACTCTTTTAGTAATTTAATACATTTTGTATAGTCCTTAAAAGTTTAAAAATTAAACTCATGTACTTTAAATTATTGCTAACTAGATCTGATTATTGTGTGAAAAAAATAAAGAAAATTGGAAACGATAAAATGTGCACCAAGTTTAACACACTTCTTAAAGTGATAATCATAATCAAGATTTTACTACAGCCATTACAAAGAACATACATATCTACAATCGAATTAATAACCTGCATGTAAAATTGCGCAATTGTCTTGAAATATCTTTCGATATTATAAACAAACCATTACAAAATTCATTATTGATAGGAAAAAAAGTATACTAATTTGTTCTAAGGTAAATGTAGCATATTACGGGATGTTAAGGAACGTTTGACTTTAAGGATAATTTGTAAAAAAAGTAGGAAAGTGAACGAGCTAAAACTGTTTTATTCTATAAATTAGACTTATAACATCTTTATAGACCGAAATTTTGCATGTAGAATTTCATTTATAGAAATAATCGGTAAATAAATAATAAAATTTAAACTGAAAGTAAAAAAAAATATTTTTGGAATGAAAGTTACAATTCTACTAAGAAACGTAAATAATCTTTAAAGTTTTTCAAATTAGCAATGCCAATTAGCTAGGTTTGATTGGAAATTTTTTATGTTTTAAAAGCTTTAAAAAACTGATATTGAATATAAATTTAATAGTATTTAATAAACTGTGATATGCTATTAGAAAGCATTCAAGAGTAGCATCGGAAACATATTTTCGAGTATTGCAATTCATATTAATTTAATAACTTATGATGTATGTTCGTTTTATTAATATGCAGGTTGTGTAATGGTTATATTCCGAAAGATTACTGCCTTAATCGGATCAAAACTACCGATTTACAGAAATGTCCCTAGATCAGAATTACCGATTTACAGGAATGTCCCTAGATCTCTGCATACATACATACATACCAGCGCCCTAGTGAATACCCTATCAGTACCGTGCGCTATACGGGGTTTACTTGTTTTTTTATTCAATTTATATAACAGAACTAATTGCTTATAAATGAAAGGTAGACACAAACAATTTTCCCATTACTATGATATTCTAGGTATATTGGAATAATGCAAATAAGTGAAAAAAATCGTGTACTTTCTTGCGAAAGAGTAGTCATTTCAAACCCAATTATTAGGGTTAAAAATTAAAACATATACCGTAATTACGTTACAGTATTCTGTAGTCATTACCAAATTTATTAACACCAGAAACACCGCTGTATTTGAGCACAGTTGAAAATAAAAGACAAAAATATTTCAAGTCTACTAATTGCTTTTCGTAATTGCGGGATACTCATGGAATTACGTTCACTGGCTCGGTTGTGTATGTGTGAACCTAATTACGGGAGTCATGAAATTGACAACTTTTTGACAAATACATGCTCGATTTAACTATAAAACTAATCTCTTATTATTACTGATAAAAAATTTCACAAATTTGAATCGATTAAGCTTATCGGAATCGAATAAAAACCTTAAGCCAGTACGAAATGGCGATCGGGTCCCGACCGATGCTTCAAAAGCTTTTTACGTCTTTAAAAACTAATATTTAAATTCGAAAATCGTGCTATTCTGTTAGGATTCAAATTATAATTGATGTGCTATTGAATAATATTGTTATTTATTGACCGTTTTCTTATTTTGCGATCAAAATTAAAAACTCCCGTTATAATGTACTATCCCGGAATTGTGTACATTTACCTTATATAGAGTTTTATGTAATACATAGTTTTAGTTGGTTAGATAAAACCAAGATAATTTTATGAAATTCCATAAACGGTGCATGAATCTTACTATAAGATATGAATATGGTTCGATCTTTTCCAACCTTATTGCCAATTATGAAATCTTTGATTGCTCTAGACAATTTTAGTAGACATTGCATAGTATTATTAGGAATCAAATATAATCTCATAGTTTTATGTTATTCTTGCCATTACCTTGCACTTCAATCGTGATAACTCCTGCACTACATCACCCGCTTTCTGAAGTAACGCATCTGGAGTTGCAGTGTCACATCGTTCATCTATATCTAGTGCCATCGCTAGTCGACGCATCTGAAAAATAATTATAATAAATTAATTTTATTAACAGCAATATGTGAATCAACTTAATTTAATTTAATTCAAAAATGCTTACAAAATCATCGTTCTGCAATTTCGTACAGTCCCTACAACGTTCTTCTTCAGTTAATTGGTTTTCTAAACATCTATTTCGTTTCTCCAGACAGCGCACTCGATCTTCCAGCTGGCGTAGCTCTCTTTGCAAGGTTTGTTGTGCCATTTCCGATCTAACCTGTTGGGATAATATAGATACAAATCAAAACATATTATATATATCTAAAATACTCAACATTATAATGACCAAATCCTAATTGAATTACCTGCGCCCTTTTGGTAATTCTCAATAAAGATTGTTTTTCAAACTTGTTAACTTCCCTTAGGGTAAGCATTTAGGGTACAATACAGTTCATTCTCCACCAGATGATTTTTTATCAGACATGAAGATGTTATATATATTATAGACAATTTCAATTCTTTTTAAATCGCATAAATCATCAAATCAATTAGTATATTATAATAATCATTAATGTATGATAATTTTATAAGTAACTAGTTGGTTTGGTATTTAGCCTTGAGGCAAGTTACATGAACTTCCTGATATGTTTAAATAATCGACTTAATCAATAGAAAATAAATTAATTTATGAGTGATTAAAAGTATTCCGAGTGGATTTATTACACATAATTGAAAACGAGCGAACACTTTGACACGGAGTATTTTCTAAAAGTAAATTTTTAGAAATCAACCATTGTTATAATTGAACCAGTTTCCATAGGAATTTAATGGCTTGATAAGTTCATTAAAACCAAGTACTCTATCGTTATACCAAGTAAAATCGTCCAATTTTAATTTTAACGAACGTCAAAAAAACTACTCATTTTCTTAAACTTTGATGAATTTTTAAAATTAAACTACTTGTCGTAAGGCCGTAATATTACAGTAAGTTCTATAAGACCATGATATATATCGCTAAAAAAATTCCATAAAAATCGGCTAAATTTTTTTTTCAACAGTTAATTACAAGAAAACGGCCCGGTAGATTTTCACCTAAAACTAATCAGTATTATTCCCAACTAACATCTTTCGAACAGTTTTTGATTTTTTAAAATCGGTTCGGTAGGATGAGCTTAAATGTGGACAAAAAGTTTAACACAAAGAAACGGCTTGGCAGATCGTCGCACAAAACTGACAAACGATAGTGCTCATCGAAATACATCAAATGGCTTTAAAATTTCTGAAATCGGTTCAGGCGCTTTTGAGAAAACGTCAATGAAAGGTCTAATTGTGACAAATGTCAAAAAAACGATACCAATTTTTGCAAACTTTGACGAATTTTCAAAGTTAAACCAATTTTAGCATGATCTAGAAGACTATAGTATCTACCGTCAAAAAAATAATAATGAAAATCGTCGAAAAAAATTTTTTAACACTTCATTACAAGAAAAAGGCCCGGCCAATCTTTACCAAAAACTAATCAGCACGATTCCCAATCAATATTTTTCGAACGATTTTTGAATTTTCATAATCGGTTCAGAATTGCGGTCTAAAACGTTGACGAAAAATTTTTCAATTTTCTCCTATTTATAAAGAAACGTCGCGGCCGATCGTCCCTTGTCGAGATACATCGAATGGCTTTTGAATTTTTGAAATTGGCCTAGGTTTTCGAGAAAACGTCGATTTATGGCAAAAAATCTGTTCACATACACACACACACATACTTTTTCCAAATTTGATCTCATTCGATTCAGAATGGCTTGAAACGTCGAGAAAACATAAAATTAACGAATCGGATTTTTTAATGAAAACAAACTACTCCTTCGGGAAGTTAAAAAATAATTAATTGATTAAACACCTAAACAATTTTTTTCAGTGTTATACAAATAATTGACGGCAAAGTCCTTTGAGTACAAAAATTTATGTTGCAAATTTTGTAAAAGTATAGAAATATAAAAAAGTATGCGTTATTTATTAGTATATATTTTATTTTAATTGCAAGAATTATTTAACCTACTTGAAGAGCCCTCTCCCTGGCCTCCGCATCTTGTAGCCTTTGCCTGGTAGAGCTGAGAGCGGCACTTTGCCTGCAGCTCTGCTCCCGGAGTCGATCCAACTCCAGTTGCAACTCCGTCATGCGCTGTTCGCGCGCACACATATTTCCTCTCATTTCTGTTAACTAATGCACAATGTGAGTAAACTCTCATAAAAATGCGTAGTAATTATAAGTTATTGCAGTTCTTTAAATTAACATATGCCATAAATTATAAGGCATATATAAAAGCGAATTCTAATGCCAGTAAAGACTGTTTTTTTACTAATGATAAAATTCTGATGCATGCGTCTAATACATAAAATATGTTTTTATGTAACTAATTATTTTCAAAAATTATAAAATATTGTATTTAGTTTTACATGTTTAAAATAAATTCTACGCTAAATGATTTTTTATATGATGAAGTATTATTAAAAAATATTTTTGCTATTGCTAAATAATTCACCCGTATTACTATATCTTACTTCGTATTTGAATTTATTTTTGTAAACGCACCATGTTACAAAATGCAAATGATTTTGTATGATGCAAAACGAATAGAATATTTATACCAATATTTCAAAAAACAAAATTAAGCATATTTAATATTTTATATATAAGTGTATATAGAGTAAAGCAGGGGATGAAGGTCTGCGGGCAAAGTAGGTCTACTACTATCATTTCAAAAACGAATAGAATGTGGTATTTTTTAAAGATTCCGTTTTAAAGTCGATTGCAAATAAGGTGTGTAACCAGCCATTGACCACAATCGGGCGACATCGATATCAAGAGATAAACGGCTCTCGGATTTTAACACATTTATAAGTTTTTTTGAAGTAAAACTTCTTTTGGCGCGTAACGGAAACGCGTTACGTCAGAACTGTACGTCATTCGCTCTCGATGAAATCATTTCTATACGGGTCGATTGTGATTAGACGTCGTGTATGTGAATAGAGATCTGTCGTTGTATGCGTACCAGCATCAACGTTGTATGCGTACCGATATCAACAAGGAAATCGGCTAGATAAATAAACATTTTAAAGTTACATCGTAGTACAAATCTTGATTTAATGAAAAATGCCTAAATCAGTAGAATATTTTACCCTGTTCCTTAAAAATAATAAAACAAATTAAACATTTGGGCCGTGTACTAAACGTAAGCTTATTGATTAGAAATTATTACTATATTATTCGTATTTTCTATACATCGTTGATGTTATTAAAATGGAAAATATTTTTAGGCAAGACAGATATTACAGCTGCTCAAATAATGAGATTATATCGCTAAAAGTAAAAAAAAAATCATCAGTCAATTAATGTATGTTAATTTTAATTACGTAAAGTTCTTCAAACACAATTACATGATAAGTGAAGCTGCGAAAGCAATATTTGTATAGGCGTTGTTCAATGAAATTCACTGTGTGAACGAATATTATAGAATTTATAAATCAGCAATTACTTAAGTTCTCTAATGAAGGTTCGTTTCTAAATGCTAATTACAATGACAAACCGATCATGTCATATTTGAAGTATGACTTTAATTACATTATTGTTTTTAAATATCATACATATTTTTATTGCTATGATAAATATATCATTTATAATTATCATTATATAAATGTGTATAATGGCACTAATAAATGTGTGCATCACGAGTCTTACCATATTACTAATAAACATTATTCAAAATTGTTATATGATGTATTTATTTTGACTTAAATGCCATCTTGTACAGTAGCAAATAAGTTTGACTTCAATCGCTTTTATGTGGTTGGGGTAAAAAGAACCAACTAAACCTTTATTTAGATTATAGTTTTTAATTTTTTTGTTCAACATAATAACTAAATTGCATCCCATTGTATAAATAATTCAGATATTATTCCATAAAACCTTTTTAAAATAGAAAATAAAGTAATGAACCTTTTTAATCCTTGGCTGGCACTTTTTACACCGCCTATATAGTAGAAAGGACCAGATGGCAAATATTAAAAGATTAGCGGCAAAACATATTACAACAATGATGAATTAGCGTGAAATATTGTTGAACACACTTCAAGAGTTGCTTGTTTGGTGTGTATTATTTGTTATAATATTGTAATTATTGTGCAATATATACGAATAAACAATTACGAAACAAGTTTTGAATAAACAATTTCACATGCTACAAAAATGTTGGATGCAGTGCTTTGGCATTTAAAAATTACCGACTATTTTGCCAATAATAATCTAAAATATATTACAAAGTGCTTTTAAGATCTACTCAAAAATACCTCGTTTTGTAATCGGTCCCTGTTGTACTCTGCGCCCGCGAGTTCCTCCCTTAACAAAGTGACCTCCTCTTCCACGGGACAGTGGTGCGATTCCCGTTCCTCTCCAAGGGCTTGCTGAATACAAAAATAGATTGACAAACAAAATAACAGGTTACCGTGGTTATCTAGGTCATACAAATCATAGGATAAAAGTTATTTATTGCACATACTCTGTCAATCAATTCGCCACAACGAATTTGAAAATCAATCAAAATTGTTTGAACGCACATGTGAGATCAAAAGTATCGACGAAGGGATTTTGTTTATGATACTTTAATCTATTATTTGAGTTTACTGTAAATTTATGATTAATAACATATTAATAATAGAGTCAATTTCTATTTATACTCTTGTACTACTAATGAACAAAGCAATAAAAATTGAATCAATATGAATGTATGTGTGAAATTACAATTAATTTAATTTGTTTTGATTTACATTACTTTTATTTTTTTAATAAATTAGATTTTATTAATTATTAACTATTAATAATATATATATATATATATATATTATTATTATTAATAATAACTAATAATAGTTAAATTCTAATTAACATTATATTTCATTTTTATGTTTCACGATCAATTAATAAAGTTATTTATAAATTATTTTTATTTATTTTTATAAATAAGTTATCTTTTTTAGTTACTTTCAGGTTTGTATCATAATATACTTTTATAGTAGGCAAAATTGTATGAAATAAGTTATCAATTTATCATGCCATTTTATTTTCATCGTGCTAGCTAATTAATGTATTATTGCAATGTAAGACATAAAAAAATAATAAGTTTTTGTCAGTAGGTTGGTTTTTCGTTTAATTTAATAATGAACGAAATTCTCTTAAATCTTCTTTTCTGACATATAACTTTCTGCTTGTATTTTTCATATATTAAAGCTAGATATATTTCAAATGTATTAAAATAAAACCACCCAATCAGCATCCAAAATAACTTAACTTAATTGATGATCTACTTTTATCAAAGATTTTATATAGTCGTTAATTTGTTAGAAAATTCATCATCTCATTTTCTAGACGTAATATGAAACAAAATGTTATAAAATTAATTTGTTGTAAATAACGCATTTTATCAAATGATATTAAAAGTGACAAAAATAAAAATTTCCATTGCATTTAAACTCATCCAATGATGTAAATAAGACAATAAATACAATGATATACATATATAAATACATTGATATTTTTTATTAAATCATCAGGATATGTTGCCATATTTTTAAGGTTGTATTTAGATCAATTCGGTTGGAATAATTTGATAATTTATTATGAAGTTTAAGAAAATAGGCAAACTTTGATAATAAAATCGATGAATTTGAATTTGGATAAATTCGTGGAGAGCACAACATCAAGTAGATCTATACAATCTTCTTCTTTCTTTAAAATCGACTTTCAAACATTTTTACTATCTATACGTTTGGTCCAATTTAATGTCATCTGAATACGAAATTTTTCAGAAAAAAATAACTAACAGTAATAGCATTAAAATGTTACACAAAATTAGCTATTTAATTTGCACATAACACTGTAATATTATTTTTTTAAGAGCACATAAAGAACCATTTGAGGTAAATTTGAATTTTGAAGTTCTAGACAATCTTTGAATGATACTATGCCATATGATATTCAATCAAAATATAGTTAATACGTAGCAACAAAATTATTGTTTATTAAAACAATTACATACTATGAATACCTTAAGTAATTTTTTATTAAGCAAGTGAAAAGTCTTATATCTTGACTTGTATTTGCATTCGAGAACTTGCACTATGTTTCTAGTTCATTTTTTTGTCTTTTGTTATTTATATATAATTTTATACGTTTAGAAATTTTAGTTAATTATAGTGAATTGGATAAAATTAATAGATAAAATCAACAGATTAAACCTTATAATTAGATCCAATAAAAATTATACAATATATGTCACTTATCTATTTTAATATACTGTCGAATAAAATAGTGTAATAACAACAAATTCGTTTAAATTCACAATACTGGTATAAACATGTAAACACTCAAAACATAGTTTTCCACCAATTATAATTTTGCAACCTCACCACCTTAGATAAAACAAAAAATAAAACAGAGTGAATGTACGGAAAACCAATAATTTACATGAACACAACAATTCCAATACTATATCCGGATTACAATATATCTACAACCGATACATTTAGAGACATGATTTGCGCAAAAGCGTTTAGGATTCTTACTAGAATTGTATGGAAAACTTATATAAATATCCGGATGATCCGAAAGCTCGTTCGCTTGCAAGCTCGAATCGGTTACTCCGCTCGGTTGCATGACTAGCGTTTATGAAATACTACCGTAACACAAAAATAAAGTTCGCGAGATCGCCTAGTAATACTAATACCGCAGGGGATGTATTCTGAGCTTCGATGCAATTTTACCTTAAGGCACAATGATTCTATAAAATATTTAAGTATTTATATTACATACTTTAAACTTCTTGAGTAGTTTTTAGGTTGTAAGCAGAGTGCTTATTTGTTTGAAACTAGTGGTGTATGGCATCGTTCTTTAAGGCAAATTGCTGGAACTTTCCGTATCAGAATTATATATTCGAGGAAAAATATCAGTAATCAATAAAAATTGATCAATGATTTACAACATTTGTTTTATACATTTTCAAATAGATAATTATAATCACTATATATTTTATTGCTCATAAAATATACAGTGAGGATCTTATCGCTCAATGAATGAATCCATCTGAGGATATATTTTTTACGATTAGAATAACTATTTAAACTTCATATTTGAAGTATAACCCTTTATACATTTTTGAAAATTTTGATTTTTTTCGGAAAATTTTGAAATTTGCGTAAATCGTATAAGTAAACTTTAAAAATTAAAAATCTTGGTACCGAGCCCAACAAAATTGTAACAAAAAAATTAGTACTCATTTTTAACTTTCCGTAGGGTAAGTTATTGTAATGGCCGAAAATCGGAATTGAAAATTTTTACATTTCTCGACGTTTTGAAGGTTTCTGAACATTTTGGCATACCTCAGAAAAATTGGATGTGTGTGTGTGTGTGTGTGTGTGTATGTATGTATGGATACAAATTTCCAGTCACGTTTTCGGGCGCACAGATCAACCGATTTGAATGGTTCAAAAAACATTCGATTCCTATTGATATGGAGATGAGCTGATTAGTTTTTGGCAAAGGTAGGTCCAGCAGTTACGGAGATAAAGAGCAAAGAGTGCAGAAAATAGAAATCGAGTTTTTGAGAGAACGGAGCATCCGATTTGAATGATCTAAAAAACATTCAATTAGTAATGTTCGGGAGAAGTGTTTATTAGTTTTTGGCAAAGGCAGGCCCAGCCATTTCGAAGATACGGAGCTAAATGTGTAAAAAATGGCAGTTTTTGAGAGAACTAAATGTCCGATTTAAATGATTCAAAGAACTTTCTGCTTGTCTTAACATAATCATTGATTTTGGAAAAAAATTGTTTCAACTTTTTTTTTTTCAAAAAATTTTTTTTTGTATATCGAAAATAATTCAGATTATATTTTTTTCATTCTGACTATAGTACTAATATACTTTAAACAAATAATTTCAACTTTGCAATTTAGTTTTATATAATTCTTATAAATATTGATTAGATTAGATCATTGATTTCGAAAAATGTTAAAGTGAATAAGCACGTCGATGATTGTAAATAATCAATAAGATAAAATTATGAAATTCTGAAACGGCGAATTATCCCAAACTTTAATAACTTTTTATAATTAAACCTTTTTGTAGACCTTTTTGTAGACCTTTTGTAGATATTATTATTGAAATGTTGTTAAAACCATAAACTCAATGTCTATGCAAAGTTTATTTAAAATCGTCAAAAAAAGACTATACAATTAATCACAATTTTTACTAAACTCTAATCTATATCTTGCTTCAAATCTAATCATATAATCTTTATATAATCTTTATCTTTACTAAAATCTAATCAGCCCGATTCCCAACTGAACGCTTATGAACATCTTCTCAATGTAAGTCCTTATCGAGATTCATCGAACGTTTTTAAATTTTTGAAATCGGAGCTTCAGTTTTTTGAGAAAACGTCGACAAAAGGTAAAATTTCAACATCTGCTCACACACACTTTTTTTAATTTTTGGCGCCAAACGATTCAGAATGACTTGATTGAAGCAAATCAGATTTTCTACCAAAAACAAACTTCTTCTTCGAGATGTTTAAAAATGCTAGACAAAACGCATTACATATTTATAATTTTTAAAGATTAAAATTTATGTATAAAAGCACAAAAATATATATATAGAAATAATTTAAAATATAAAAATTAAAGTGAGACATGAAAAATACTACCCTATCATAGTTTTTTTCTGGTTATTTTTAATTTTACAAGAGTGTTTTATCTATGAAACCCATAAAAGTACTTTAGAAAAAAACAATTTAAAATTGAAAAAATATTGAAATTTACAAATAAACTATAATTATCAGATCAAGCAATATTCAAAAACTTTAAACCGCTAATTAATTAATTGAATAAAGTTTATTTTACTTTTCGTTAAGGTTCTTTGACACATAGTTCTAAAAGATTGTTTGTATACACAAAAATAATCGTGATATATTTATGATGTAAAAATAAATATTGTCTATTTCAATGCAGCGAAAAGATCATTATCAAAATTTATTTTTAGACGCTTTGTATTTGTATGAGAAAGTTGAGCTTTCTATGTAGTGAGCTTTGATATACGAATGCAATATATCCACTATCAGCAGTATTAAGATTGTTTGATTAATTTTGTTTTAGATATTTGTTGTGTATTTAAGTTTTATCAATTATTTTAAAACATTAACAATTTAAGCAACGTATTGCAATTCGGAGCAAAACAATATAATTTTACACGCAATTGCATTGCTTCTAAAATTAGGTCACGCAGCAAACAAGTATATTGACATAATACTAACACCTTAGAAATGAAGTTATATCATAAATCAAGTATTAAAAATGAGTATTTAATAAAACTGTGACATACCATGATGAATCACTGCTAATTGTTTCACAAAATCGAAGAGAATCAAATTGACACTTTTTTGCACATTTGATACGGAAACTAATCAGTTCTATTCCGTAAAATAACATAGTTTAGTGTTGTTTTCAATAGTTCATGTTTGCATCAAAATAATGTCAAAATACTACATTGAATGACATTCAGCAAACACGTTTCAATGTTTACGACATAATTACTCACGTCTTTGCATAACAAATCGAATATCCGCCAGTCTTCTTCGGTATTTCCATCTGTCACCCTGTCGGCCATGTTGGAAAACCTTGGAAAACCTGTTCGACAGATCCGCAGCTTTGCGCAAAACTTTAGAACAGCACTGAATTGAAAAAGCTCACATGTGAAAAGTAAATACACAAATCATATTTTGATAGAGACATCGCAAATATAAAAGATTTTTCAAATACTTAATATTAAATTATAGTTCTTTTTTCCCTGCTTAGGTTAGAGTTATAAATAGAGCTGAAAGCACGCGTATAAACAAACCCACTGCGCATGGACAAGGCGTCCTTTCGCCGTTGCCTGGGGAGAACTGCCGTACTGTAACCTCTCAAGAAAAAAATGGAAATTGATTTCAATATTATGATATTAGGGAATCAATTCATAGTCGTAGTCTTTTAGCAACATCGACCTAACAATCCGATATCCGATTAAGTGCACGCAAGCAACTATATTGTAACGATTTAGATGATACTCTTCATATTAAACTTCTGTCCTAAAAGGACATGATGGCAAATCTTCATAATAAACTAATAATAGTAATAAACTAGTTTAAAGCAAATTGCTGGAACTTCCCGTACCGAAAACTAAATTTAAAAAAAATTGAATTTTTTTCGAAAGTTTGAAAAAAATAGATTTTTTTCTGTTTTGTTTTTTTTATGTTCAGAAACCTCTAAAGAGTACCTAAACATACTCTTCTTTTATCTATGTACCTAAAGGTATATAAAAAATAACATTTTCGATTTTTTGCGATTACTATTACTAACCGAACGGAAAGTTAACTAGTGCTGCATGGCATCGTGCCTTCAGGCAAGTTGCTGGAACTTGCCGTACCGTAATTCAAAATTATTGAAAATGTTTGAAATTTTATGAAAACTGGAAAAAATAGATTTTTGATAAATTTGAAATTTAAAAAAAACGACTTTTTTGAAAAAAAAAAAACAAATATTTTTTTGTATATTAAATTTTTCAAAAAATTTGGCATTTTTTCCAAAGCAATCGCGCTGCGTAGCTGTTTTCGTGGCGAAGGCGCCGCGACGCCGTCTAATGGTTATACTTTGTTAAATCCTGATACAAAAATATCATTAGACATATGCATATCAAATTATTAGATATTTTATAGAGATTTTAGTAATAAGTAGCAATTTTGTATACATTTCTATCGATTCTGGGTAATGTTTATTTACGGCATTTACGCGCTTTGATATTTCTTCTCTAAAACAGCTTTGAAAAAAAAATCAAAATTTTCAGGAAAATTCAAAATATTAAAAAAAAAAATCAAATTTTTTAATTCAGTTGAGTTTGAATAAATGAAAATGAAATGAATTTCAAAATTTACAAAAACCTCAATTTTTTCAAAGTTTTTTAAAAAAAATTGTAGAGGAAGTTCAAGTAATTTGCCTTGAGGCACGATGCCATGCACCACTAGTTAATCAAGCAAACCGGGCGCCATTTTTCGCACTTTTTCCACCATATTTTTAAAACGACTGGGCCTGCCTTGTCCAAAAATTAACTATATGGTATTGGTATTTTGCCTTGAGGCAAGTTACATGAACTTCCCGATATATGTAAATAATCGATTTAATCAATAAATCGAATTTCATAATTAAACCAGTTTTCGTAGGACTTTAATGGTTTAGTATGTTCATTAAGACCAAGTACTCTATCGTAATACCAAGTAAATCGTCTAATTTTAATTTTAACAAACGTGAAAAAAACTACTCATTTTCTCAAAATTAAACAGTTAATTACAAGAAAACGGCTCGGTAGATTTTTTCCTAAAACTAATCAGTATCCTACTCAACTAATATCTTTCAAACAGTTTCTGATTTTTTAAAATCGATTCGGTAGTATGAGCTTAAATGTGGACGAAAAGTGAAACGTTTTTTTTAAATTACAAAGAAGCGGCTTGGCACATCGTCTGACAAACGATAGTCCTCATTGAGAGACATCAAATGGCTTTTAAATTTCTGAAATCGGTTAGGCGTTGTTGAAAAAACGTCGATCAAAGGTCTAATTTTGACAAATGCTAAAAAACGATACTAATTTTTGCAAACTTTGAAGAATCTTTAAAATTAAACGACTTGTCGTTGGGCCGTAATATTTCAGAATGATCTACAAGACTATGGTCTCTAGTCTTTACCGTCAAAAAAATTCATAAAAATCGTCGATTTTTTTAACTTTATTAGAAGAAAACGGCCCAGCCGATCTTTACGAAAAACTAATCAGCACGATTCCCAACCAATCGAAAGGTTTTTGAATTTTCAAAATCGAACCAAAATTGTGGGCTAAAATGTGGACGAAAAAATTTTCACATTTCTGCAATTTACAGAGAAACGACCCGGCCGATCGTCGCACAAAACTCAGAAACGCTAATCCTCACAGAGATACATCAAATGGTTTTAAATTTTTGAAATTGGTCCAGCCGTTTTGAAGAAACGTCCATTTACGGCAAAAAATCTGTTCATACACACACAAACACATACTTTTTCCAAATTCGGTCTCATTTGATTCAGAATGGCTTGGAACGTCGAGACAACACAAAATTAGCGAGTCGGATTTTTTTATGAAAACAAACTTCTCCGTCGGAAAGTTAATTAGCACGTCTACCCATTAATAAGAAACAAATGTTCTTTTAATCATTCAAATCGGTTGACCCATCAGGTTATCAAAATTATGGACAAAATATTGTATCCAAACATACATACATACTACACACACACATATATCCAATTTTTCTATATCTACAAAAAGATATACAAAATTTTTCATTTTCGATTGTTTCGCTATTTCGCTATAACTTACCCTACGAAAAGTTAATAAATAAATCTGAACTAAACTTCACTGGAACTCATAATATTTTACATATTTTTTGAGAATCAATTAGAACTTAACACTTCTATGAGCTATTGTGATAAATATTCTTTTTCACCGCGTCTTTATCTGTATAAATTTGATACATTATTACAATTTGTCTAATTATGATGTTATTTATAATTTGATAAACCAACCGGGAAAGAGCTATTTTTACTTAGAATTATATATCAATCTTTATTGTCAAGTGAAATACAACCTGTATGAGTACTGCTTAAAATCAAGCGGTCCAATTAAGGTGGTCGTCGAAAGTGCAGCCTCCTGGTTGAAAGATCAAAGTTCTTACCACCGACCCAGTGGGAAAACCTACATAATTAACAAATTGCTAACAAATTTCAAAATTAAGAGAACTTTATCTATCTCACCATAAAGCAACAATAATATAAAAAAAAAGTTCAAAAACTTACAGTAGGTTTGGTATCGTCCTTGGCCTGAATTGAGGTGTAAATATTTAACTTTTCACTAAGATAAAAGTAACAATAAAAAATAAAAATAAAAACATTTTCGTTACACACTGTTAACACTAACTTAAAAAAAATATTTTTTTCTGCAAAACATCCGATTTGCTTTTATATTGTCACCAACACTAACAAAAGAATTTCAAGTCATTCTGAAATTGTGTATGTGTGTATGTATTGCAAAATATCATAGACCTAAAAAGACTCATTTATAAAAATTCATCGAAAATTCAAATAGTAAGTCACGCATTTGGTTCGTTCAACTTTTAGTAGCATAGCCGAGTGCTTATGAATGATATGAAGCTTTATTTATTCCATTTGTTACTAAAATTTATGAAACAAACAAGATATAATTCTATGAGAATTAATTGATTTTTTCCCAATAGATAGTCGTCTAAAGCTTGGTCCATAAAAAACTGTATTCACTCCTCACTGTAATGTTTAAAATTATTATTAATTACAATTTTAAAACAATTATTATAACAAAAGTAAAAAGGCTATAGTTCCAGCCTCTTGTATAAAAGTAAAAAAAAAGTCCCTACATAGCTTCACTTTAGAATTTGATGTGAATCAACTACAGTTTATCAGAATGTATACATTATATAAAAATGTAACAACAAAAAACACAACCTCTTGAAGACTCATAGGTTTTGATCAAATTGGTTTGATTTTAAATAATAGCATTATATGTATGTTGAACAAGATATCCGAGAATCCAAAAAATAATTTAAGATTTATCCTATTTTTTTTTTTAAATAAAACCATATTTACAACATCACTTTAAAAATATATTCACTTCTGTTCAAAGTAACAACAAAACATAATAATTACACATTTTGTAATTCTCTATATCTACAGACTACTATATAAAAATACTTCGAGGGATCGATCATTTTACGGTTAACATACTTAGTGAATCTATTTGTTCCACTAGTTCTATATACAATATTCAGCATATTATTTTTAGGAAATATTGTTAGTAGCTCATTGCCTTCTGCTTCATTTGGATCTAAATAAGTTATAGCACCAATACCTGTTTTTCCTGAAGAATTAAAATACATTATAACATCCAATTCATCACAGTCATATTCTGATTTGTCACTTAATAAAGTATAACATCCTGCAGTCCATCTTTGAATTTCTAAATTTATTAACGATTTTTTCAAGGCATTGTCTCCAACTGGCAAATCTAAATCCGTAAAATCTTTCAATAAAGATATGAAAGAGTCAGAATAAAATAAGTTATATAACTTGTTCACAAAGCATATCTCATAATTTCGTTTATTAACCGGGCCAACTCTTTCCCATTTCATAACTGAAGTTATTGAGTTTAACAAGTCATCATAAACGTTTTCATTAAAAAATTGAGCAAGTCCTATTTCAGAATTTTCTTCAATTTGAGTATTAATTTTTTTTTTAGACGTTTCAGTTAAATAGTCACTTTTTATATAATCATCTAATAAACAAACCTCATTTTTGATCTCATATGAAAACATCTCATGCTTTCTCACCTTATTAGTTTCAAGCTCTTCAGTAATTTTAAATCTAGGTCCATGAAACCACCCATTTATTGATAACCTGGAATAATCATCAGTATAAACTTCCTCAACTTCATGATAAGATTCTGGGCAAACCTTAAAAAAAACAAAGTGATTGTTTTTCGGGCAAATTTTATCAATAGCCGGATAAACTGGTTCCTTATATTTGTTCACAGTGAATAATTTTAAATTTCCACCCATCTTCGTGCTCCATCCAGCTTCCAAGACTTTTTGATTATAATCGTCAGATGACAATCGCCATGGGCAAATGTAAAAAATAAAGGCTATCAACCTGTCTTCCAATAGGTCATCATGAGGAAGCAAATAATTGGTTGCATTATACATAGAACATGTAGCAGATACTTTCGTAAATTTCAAACCAGTGACATCGCTCATCCATTTAAGCACATCAGTCTGCAAAAAATTAAAAAAACCATGCAAGTATTTTGATGTTACTGTGGACAGATCAGGTGATTGAGACAATTCATATAGATCCATTTTTTTGGAATTCCATTTTAAGGTTTGTATGTCTTTATATAAATACTGCAAACTGCTTTTATCGGAGAGAAAATTTTCTATAATACCCAAATGAAACGGTTCGCGACGAATGGTTACTGTTGGAACGGCAGAGTAAATACCACGTGAACTTAAGGAAGCATGCAATTTTTTAATATTATTTAAATCAGATATATCTTTGTTCAATGTAAACAGTTTGCGGCTTGGGAGTTTTCGATTAGTTGGATTAATAACTTGCTCCACCCAGGGATTCGAAGTCGTCCAACCATTCTGGCAGGGGACGACGGAGTGTCTTTTGAAATGCCGCCGGGGCACCTTCTTAAATCTCTTCATGTTAACCATTGCTTCGATCGAAGTTATTTAACTATTCAAAACACCGTATAGTATGTCATGTATCAATAAAAATATATGATATATTAAAGTTCATTGTAATCACATATAGCTGTCCATGCACAAAATCTTTCACCGGACTATGAAGCGAAAAACTCGAGTTAAATAAAACACCGGTTTAACACGCACGTACATAACCTTCACATGACAACGTTATGTCAAAATCGTGCAAGGAATTTGCAATGACACCGTACCAACATCAAAAAAGTAAATGCTACATATTGACAGTTGTAACTTGTTTATTTTAAACTCATTATTATTATTAATCATATACTCTTTTTTATCTATGATAGTAAACGTCCAAAAATCTAAAATGAAAATTTTTGAACAGGTTTTGGAAAGGTTTTGAACATTCTGGCATATCTTAGAAAAACCGATTTAAAAAAACATTCCATTCGTATGGACGGCGCTAATTCGTTTTTGGCAAAGGCAAGTCCAGCTGTTTCGGAGATACGAAGCAAAGAGTGCAGGAAATAGAAATCGATTTTGTGAGAGCGTGGTGCATCCGATTTAAATGTTTTTGACAAAGACATTTTGGGGATAAGGAGCTAAATGTGCAAAATTGGTAGTTTAATAAAACGAAGCTATAGATAAATAAGCATAACGAAGCATCCGATTTGAATGATTCAAAAAACCATTTGCTTGTATTGACGAAATCATATATACTTTATCTATAGACGAAACGATTGTTTTTGGGGTAAGCGAAAAAAATCATATCAATTTTGTTTTGCATTTCCAAAAATATATGCTAAAGTATATGGCATATGGCTTTCTATAATTAGAGATACATTCAATACAGACTTTTGAAGAAAGTAGAAAAACTATATTTATATTAAATAATATACTACATTTTTAACAAAATTGATTTATAAAAGTTAAAATTTATATAAGTTTATTTACAATAACAATTATTTATAAGTTAAAGTTTATTTCTGTATTAATTATTTATAATGTAGCAAGTTGTTAAAACATGGCTGAAATAAATTAAGCCAAACACCAATCACATTTAATTAAGGTGATCATATGTCCTGTTTGGCCAGGACAGTCCTCGATTTCCACATTGTGTCTCAGGTTTATCTAAAAGCAATATTTGTTCCAGATTTAGATCTTTTGTCCAAAGTTTTCTAAAAGTATAGATTTCATCTAATAGATAGAATCATATCTATTACTTGATAATAAAACTATAACATAACTATAGATATTCATGAAGCTTCACCTGTGCTAATTTAATTTGCCAACAGTTCTGATATACACAACTGATATTTTCTGTATGCGCTAGCAATTCTACTGTACAATGACAAATTCTCAAATACAAATTTAAAAATTCTCTAAAAAGTAAGTAAGCCAGTAGTATCGTCAACCTCACAATGAGTTGAAGGTGAATGAAAAGATGATAAAATATCCACCAACAACTGGAATCAAACTAATTGATGGTTTTAAAAACCATTTTTGTCGCTCTGGCATGCAGCAAATTTCTTTTGAAAGACTTTTAACCTGTTCATCTGTTTTCACAGGTGTAAGCCACTATCTTTCGGATATCTAATCAAAGTTTGTTGCCATTTCAGGGCACTTTCAAACATACTACAAATAATTATGTATAAATAATGAAATGAATTTAATAATACCGAATAAAAAAAAAATATCGGTGTATAATTACCTGAGACCGGATTACAAGTTACTAATGATTGGTATGACCCTGCTTCTACTGCTCTGTTGCAAAGTGACTATTAGTTCTAAAATTATTTAAGTATTTTAGTAACTACCCCTTAAGTATTTTAATTTTTATAAACATATTACTTACAGAATATGGTTCCAATATGGAATCCATGAGAGTTTGTTTTGGCAATGTAATATGCTTTTTGGTGTTTAAACACTATGATAAGTGATACTTGACCATATTCAAACCTATTTATAATGCATTCACTTATACATAACAATCTTAGCAAAATACAATTATAACCAACAAATTTTGTTTTTCTAGTTCATAATTGATTATTATCGTGTATTACCATTCAATGTGTTTCATGCAGACATATACTGACACACTATATGAACTTGGAATATGGGAGCAGTAAAGCCCTTTGGCATAAAATCTCAACAATATAACAAAAGTTCATTTGTTCTATTGTTTACCCCCCATGCATTCGTCTAACATTGATCTTCAATTTTACAGCTGATGTAGTTCTGAACAATCATATGTATCAACACCAAGAAATATTTTCCTGAGTTGTAGCAAAATTATATTATATTTGAAATGTGTTATGTGGTTGTAAAACTCTCCGTTTTATATTCCATAAATCCTTTTTTGTTATCATAGCTGCCCTGGGCGGCAATAATTTATTATTGCGAATACTCTTTATTATAACATCTGCATCTTCTCCGGCAAGAATTTTATCTGTAAATAGTTATGTTATGAATGATGATAAATTTCATACTTATATATATAAAAGTAAATGATCTATAAATATACCTTTGATGTTTTGTTTCAAATTTTGGTCCAGTGGTAAAAATTTTAGCACCTTTTCATGTCCTACATGTGTCTTATAATAATCAACTTTAATATGTCCGTCATTATGCATTTTGCAAACGATCCGCGAGGGACAAGCATGCCCAATTTTTTTGCTCTTGAAAACTCTTGAAAATGTTTTTTTCTTTTTTTCCACAGAAGAGTGAGATCGATGGCAATTATAATAAGCAATGTGGTATTCATTTTTTGCTTTGTATGCTGAGGTATCTTTCACATAAGATGAGACATCACTCTGCTCTGTTTCAATTTTCCATTTGTTAAAATCTACAGAAAAAATAGAATTATAAATAAGAGTGTTGAAAATACCCATACCCAAACCCATAAATATAAATATAAATATAAATATAAATATGAATATGAATATGAATATGACTATGAATATAAATATAAATATAAATATGACTATGAATATAAATATAAATATAAATATGAATATAAATATGAATATAAATATGAATATAAATATGAATATAAATATAAATATAAATATAAATATAAATATAAATATAAATATAAATATAAATATAAATATAAATATAAATATAAATATAAATATAAATATAAATATAAATATAAATATGAATATAAATATAAATATAAATATGAATATGAATGTAAATATAAATATAATAAATATAAATATAAATATGAATAAAATATAATATAAATATAAATATAAATATAAATATAAATATAAATATAAATATAAATATGAATATAAATATAAATAAATAAACCCAGAATTAAAAGTTGACAAACCATCAATAGAAGAAAAAGACATTTGTTCACATTCAATACTAATCTCATGGTCACGCTGAATATGGCTTTGCAGTGCATTGTACCTTGTACAAGCCTTTCCACAACCCTCAACGGGACATGTAATTCTGAGAACCCTTGGAGAACCTATAAATTCACAATTATTTTTTGGATGTATTGTAGAATATAGTTTAATACTTAATTCTTATATTAAAATACCTGTGATTTCTTTGCCAGTCTGGGATGCAATAGTTGGGAGCGATGTGGACATTTGGGGAGTTTGTATCATTAGAATAGGTGAACTGGTAAGATCTGGTAATATTTGGGATGATTGTGGGTAACATGGTTGTGGAGTGAAGGAATCAGTGTTACAGTTGGAGGTTATGGGAGGAGTTGGTGAAGTTGCAGCACTGGATTGAGAAGGACCGGAAGAAATTGATGAAGAAGGGAGAGCATACGAATGTAGTGCAAGAAATGTTTCTAGGTTAGAAGTTGGTGAAGAAGGTGTAGCACAGGAATGCGAAGGTGCAGAAGAAATTGATGAAGAAGGAAGGGCATATGAATGTAGTGCAAGGATTGAAGGGCATATGAATGTTTCTGGATTCGGAATTGGTGAAGAAGGCTTAGCACAGGAATGAGAATGTATGAAAGAAATTGATAAAGAAGGAGGAACATAAGAATGTAGTGCAAGGGATGTTTCTGGATTAATTCGTGGATTTTTAAAAAATGTGCGGTAGGTTATGGGGTCTATAGAATGGTAAGTCTTCATGTGCCTTTGCAATGAATAAGGATAATGTAATATCTTTTCGCAATATGTGCATTTATAATTTCTGTAATATTGTCTAGGCTGTTTGCCATGTATCAATCTACTATGACGACAAAGCGAACTACTGGAGGAAAAAAACTTCAAGCAATCAGCACATTGCTTCTGGACTTTCATGTTGAATGAAAAAAATTAAGTAACGTGACGTACTAAAAGCTATGAAAAAATAACTGAAAGTAACGTAAAACTATAAAGCAACTAACTTTATTATAAACGTATTAAAGAGTAAAAAATATTGACAAAATAACTAAAAACGTATTAAAAGCTATGATATTTATGAGAACAATACTATGAACCTAACCTAACCTATTAAAAGAGAGCTTAGATAAAGAAATGAAAAACATATGCTAAACCTTAATAAACAAAATGAATAATAAATATGAACCAAACCTAACCTAACTTACATAAATATAAATTCAAAATCAAAACTTTTTAAAACCTACGAAAGAAACTGAAACTGACAAGACAAATATACAAGTTCTTTTAATAACAATTATATGTTAACTATTACTCTATTCACATAAAATAATACTGAAATATGATAAATGCACAAAACTGTTAAAGAACTTAGGATAGCAAGAATATTTTTCACAAGGACCAGAACCTAGACATATCATACAATATATTCAAAGGCGGGAAAAGAAAGAAGATGATCAACAACAACTCCGTGGTTTCCAACCTGCGGAGCACGCGCGAAATACGATTTTAGAAAATAAACCAAAACTAGCTGTAAGTGGAATTCTGTCTTAAGGCAATTAATGCATCGTGCCTTAAGGCAAATTGCTGGAACTTCCCGTACCAAAAATTATTATTTTTTTAAAAACAATTAACATTTTTGAAATAATTTTACTTCGAAAAAATAAGATGTTTGAGAAACTATACATTGGACAAAAAATTACTTTTTTTTGAAAAAAAATTTTTTTTTTTTGAAAAAAATTTTTTTTCTTTATTTTGACATATTTTGAAAGATCTAAACTTTTTTTCAAAGCAATCGTACTGCTTTAACTGCATGAAGACGAAATATCAAACCGCGTAAGCGCCGCGTCGACGTCTAACGCGTAAACATTGGTACGGAACCCATAGGAATGTAAACCAAATTTATACTTATTGTTAAAATCTCTATAAAATATCTGATAATTTGACGTGCATATGTCTAATGATCGTTTTTGACCGCCAAATGACATTTTTTTTTACTTTTTTCATTAAATCTCCGAAACCGCTAGACCTGCCTTTATGAAAATTTGATCGGTTCTTCACCTTGTCAATACAAGTAAAATGTTTTTTGAATTATTAAAATCGGACGCTCCGTTCTCTTAAAAACTGAGTTACCGTTTTTGGCACTATTTGCCCCGTATCTTCGGAACGGCTAGACCTGCCTTCGCCAAAAACTAATCAGCACGTCTCCTTATCAATACAAATCGAATGTTTTTTGAATTATTCAAATCGGTTGATCGGTGTTCCCGAAATCGTCGACGAAAATTTGTATCCGCACATACATACATACACACACACACACACATACATCCATTTTTTCTAAGGTATGCCAAAATATTCAGAAACCTGTGAAACGTCGAGAAATGCAAAAATTTTCATTTTCGATTTTTTTTGCGATTACTATAACTTGCCCTACGGGAAGTTAAAAATTAAATTAAGGAGGAATTTCCTACAAATTTTATAGCTAGTTGTGATCGAGTTTTATCACATAGCTTTTAAATTTTTGAAATCGATCAGCCGTTTTTTGAGGAAACGTCGATGAATGGTTAAAAATCAGCTCCTATATAAACACCATACTTTTTCCAATTTTAGTCACAAATGATTCAGAATGACTTGAAACGTCGGAAAACATAAAATTAGCAGATTTTCTGGCAAACGTAAACTTCAAACTCAGAAATAAACGCATAACCTAAACAACAATATGCTGCTGTCACTTTGACATTTGTCGCAAGAGTACTTACCATTAAGATTAGTTGTAAATAAAATAGCAAATTATTAATTTAAAGCGCAAGTGTTTAAAGAAAAATTATTAAAATGTCATCTAATAATGTAATGTTTCATCCTATTATATGCTCTATACAAAAGCTTGCATTATACGAAACAAAGGAAGTATGTTATCTGCAAAAAAATTAATATTGCTGTGGAATTTTTAGTATTATATTGGACCACAACTTTGTTTTTATAATTATCATAATATAAAATGACCCACAGTTATGTTGGGTCAGAAATTATGTCATATTATAAGTTATAACTTATCGCTTATAGAAATTATTAAAATACAAGAATTTACCATTTTGTAATTATTCAATTGCAATTTGTATCTAATAAAATTTGATTATATTTTTATTTTAATTATATGCTTCTTATTATTTTGTTTTTATTTTTTAACAACTCTTAGCAATACTAATAATCCATATTGACAATTGCTGTCTTTAATCAGAGATTATATTATTATTATTATTATTAAATTGTAGCTATAATTTGCTATAAAAAAAAAAAATTAATGAAACTTCGATGGTATACTAATCATTCTTCAAATTACATCACTCATATCATAGGTTTAATAGAAACATAAAACCCGTTTCCTATGAAATATTATTATTCATAACAAAATATTTTATGAATAATAATATTATAGTTGTAATATTTGTATTGTAATCACATATCTTGAAAAAAAAATATAACTTGTTTCATGCTTACCTTAAATAATTACATCTATTTCTTTTATAGAAAATCTACATTGTTGGCTCCAACAATGCCCAAACTCGTTTTCGGTTATTGAATATTGATCGAAGAAATATTACAGAACTGAACATTACTGATGATAAAATAGAGTATGGGTTTCGCGATATAAGTAATCTAGTTAACAAAATTACAACAATGCACAAAGCTCGTGGGAGTACTGTTAAAATATTTTATGCATTTGGCATAGTAGGTCAGTCTTTTGATATGAGTATTATTGAATTGTGATTTTCAAATAAATGTGCTTGCAGGGTTTATTAGATTCTTACATGGATATTATATTATTTTAATTACTAAAAGAAGAAGAATAGCAGAAATTGGTTTACATATTTTGTATAAAATAGAAGATACGCTCATGGTTCCAATATGTCTGGATAGTAAAAACATTCATCCAAATGAACCTAAATATGTGAAAATGTTTCAAAGTATCGATCTGAAAAGCAACTTTTATTTTAGGTATGCTCATAATATATTTCATTTAGTAGAAACCACATTTCAAATATTTTATTGCAGTTACAGTTATGATTTAACAAGACCTCTTCAAAATAATGTTGCCCCACCAAAATATTTTTCATCCAAGAAATCATTCAACACTCCGCAAGATGCTGATTATGAAAGTGACTCAGAGCCATTACCCAACTTTGGGTCAAAAATGGAAAAGTACAGTATATAATATAATTAAATACAATAATATATATATATATATATATATATATATATATGTGTGTGTGTGTGTGTGTTAAGCTTTGAAGAGAAAATCAAAATCTTAAGATTTTTTAACAAATTTTTAAAAGAATCCATATTAGATTTTTTTTTAACAATTATTATTTATTGTTGTCGTTTTGGAGCTATTTATTTGTATAACATGGTCTTTCTTAGAAGATAAACAAACAAATTTAATATAATAGGATTATATGAAGAATTATCAAAATAAAATAAAAAAAAAGTTGAATAAAAATGTTAAAAAAGAACACATTTTGTAAAATAAAAAAGAACACATTTTGTTATTCAATCCATTCATTTTCATATTAGATTTACTAGATCTTATTTTATTATATTATTATTTTTTTGTACTGGGTCTATTCGTTTATCTTCAAACTTCTTTTTAACTGTTGCCTTGAACATGGAACATACATAATCCCAAAACGGTGACAGTAAATAATATTAATTTAAAAACTTATTTTTGTAATTACTATTTTATATTCCTTGTTCGAATCTCAACTTAATATTATAAATAAGTTCTTTATCTTTGTATTTTACTATACCTGACATATATACCTTTATAAATATATACCTATGTAGGTATATTATATTATTATATAACATAAATTAATAAAATTAATATATTTGTTTTTCATATATAGGTCAGAAAGAGTAGATTACGGGTTTCGAAGAAGTCCTAGAATGAGATTTGTATGGAACTCTCATTTACTGAAACCAATTGACCAAATTCTTCATCCTGATTGGATTTTGTATATAACTCATGGTTTTATAGATCAACTACATATGAGTATTTTTGGAAGACCAGTGCATATAGCTATTATTGCAAGGCGAAGTAATAAATTTGCAGGAACAAGGTACATAATAATAAAATAAATATTACACATTTTTTTTAAATTCAAGAGTCTGAAATGAATTAAAATAGAATATGATGTGAAAATTAAAATGGAAAATGATATGAAATGATATGTTTTTCTTATAAGATTTTCCGTTTACTAGGTTTTTGAAAAGAGGAGCAAATTTTTCAGGGGATGTAGCTAATGAGGTTGAAACAGAACAAATTGTTTATGACTCAGGCACATCCTCTCTTGCAGAAGGCAGATTCAGTTCGTTTGTTCAAATGAGAGGATCGATTCCAGGCCATTGGTCACAAGTAATAAATGATAAATCAGTATTATATAAATTTATAACACCTTATATAGATATATAATATATATATATATATATATACATATACATATACAGGGTACCCCAGAACTCAACATCAAGCAAAATCGAGGTGATAGTATTTGTAGTAACATCATCATAAAAAAAAAATTAGAATAAAAATTAGCCTGGGTAGTCGGTAATTTTATAATTTTTGTTCACTTAAACTTTTGAACCGTAAGCGCTGTATTCCTAAGGCCAAAGTCAAAAATAATGACAGTTGGCCTAGGTTTTCAAAAATTAAGACCATTCGTTAAATTAATTTAAAATTTTCAAAATAGGTAGACTTTGAGCGACCCTTCTTTTGAAAAGATGTATTAAAGTGTGTTGGCAAGTTTCAACTTGCTTAAATGATGAGAGACGAATATTGGATATGTTTTCTATGACAATCAAAGCACATTCTTTATGTTTAAAAAATTCTTTCTAATCTGCATCAATACATGCCCATTTTGTTTTCCAATGAATTTGTTAAAGTTTTTCTTAAAAATGAA